CCGGTGGATATGCCGCCAATGGAGGTAACTTTAAAACCTGGATCGATTCCAGTGAGGTGTAAAGCGAGGCGTTACTCGCCATTACACCGTGAATTTCTGAAGAAGCACATTAATGCCTTAGTCAGCGCCGGTTTGTGCTATCGGAACCCCCGCAGCAGGTGGTGTTCACCTCCCCACGTTGTTAGCAAACCCGAAGCTGGAAGCTATCGCATGACCGTAGATGTTCGTGGCCCAAATAGCTGTTTGGAGTCAGTTGTGTGGCCCATGCAGATACTGGAGGCAGCTTTCGAGCCGTTACGTGGCTCATCGCGATATTTCTCGCTTGATTTCTTCAAAGGATTTTGGCAGTTTGCGATGGCGTTGACGTGCCAAGAGATTTACTCTATCTTAACGGAAGAAGGGGTAATAACTCCAACCAGAGTGCTAATGGGAGGGACTAACAGCGTAGCCTACGTGCAGTCTACAGTTCAGCAAATGTTTGACGAAGTCTTTAACGATGGTTTAATAATTTGGATTGACGACTTGTTGGGATATGACGACAGTGATGAGGGATTGCTTGCATTACTAAAGAAAGTGCTGAGTATTTGTGCTACTAAAGGACTCAAGTTAAACCCCAAGAAATGCAAATTTTACCTGCGCGAAGCACTGTGGTGCGGTCGGGTTGTTTCGGGCGAGGGCGTTCGCCACGACCCAGCGCGAATCGCCGCCCTGGCCAACATTTCGCCACCAACAACGGGACAAGAGCTCCAGCAATTCATTTGTGCGCTAAATTGGATGCGGGCTTCGCTTCCAGCATTTAATAAGCTGATTGATCCATTAGTGAAGATGATGGAGAAAGTATACGAGAGGGCTGGTGGCCGCAAGAAGAACCAAGTAAGACATGTGTTGCTTCGTGCTGTTGGCTGGGGTGAGAGTGAAGATGCATGCTTAGACCGTTGCAAGGCGGCACTGCAAAATGCACTTCAATTAGCACATCCTGACCCTGAAAAGCGACTCACGGTGTACACAGATGCTAGTGAGGAACACTGGGGTGCGGCAATTACACAAATTCCTCGAGATCAGACAACTCGACCATTAAGTGAGCAGGAACATCAGCCACTAATGATGTTGAGTGGATCATTTTCTGGAGCAGCCAAGCGTTGGGCTATCGTCGAAAAGGAAGCTTATGCCATCGTTGAAACGTGTCGACGAGCCGACTATCTTCTCCACCGACATGATGGCTTTGCGCTGTTCACTGATCATAGAAATTTGCGCTTCATATTTGACCCGCATAGTGTTTCGAACTCTGTTCCCAAGTACACCGCTGACAAGTTGCATCGGTGGTCACTGTTGTTAATGAGCTACAAGTACGAGATCCACGATATTGCGGGTGAGGATAACGCATGGGCAGACTTACTTTCAAGATGGGGATCGACATTTAAGACTGTGTGTGCTATACGGCAAGTCCCGTTGCCTATCCCTCCGCAACTCGATGCCCAATTCGTGTGGCCTACCATTGGGGACATCGTGGTAGTGCAGCAAGCTGCGTCACCACCGGAAGAATTCACACAGTCGACTGATGACTTGTTGTGGCGAGATGAACACAGTCGAATCTGGATTCCCGATGAAGCTACAGATATGCAAATGCGTGTATGTGTGGTTGGACATTTCGGTATCGCAGGACACCGAGGCACCAAGGTGACATTGAAACAAATCAGTGACAAGTTTGTGTGGACAAATTTGGCGAAAGATATCGAGTTTTTTGTTGGACGCTGTTTGCACTGTGCAAGTACGCTCGGCCGCCCACCACAGCCTCGAGAGCTGGGTGAAGCAATGCACGCCGAGAAGCCGAACGAGTTAATCCATTGGGATTATTTGTTCATGGGAAAAAGTGACAGTGAACTGGAATACGTGTTGGTGATTAAAGATGATGCGTCGAAGTTTGTGTGGCTCATGCCCAGCAAGGCGGCTGACGCGGACACTACGTTTGCAGCTCTACTGGACTGGTTTGCGTCATTTGGAGTGTGTCGTACCTGGGTCAGTGACCAGGGCACACACTTTAAAAACACAGTCATCGAAGCATTTCAACATGCCCTTGGGGCACACCACCACTTCACTACTGCCAGGTGCCCTTGGGCTAACGGTACAGTTGAGGTGGTGATGCGGGAGACGCTACGGTGCTGCCGCGCATTGTTGTCAGAGTGGCGACTACAGCCCCGTGAATGGCCACGAGTGATTAAGATTGTTCAGTTAGTGCTGAACAACACGCCATCACCGGCACTGGGAGGTGTAGCCCCGGTGACCGCAATGACTGGGCTCCGCGAAATGGGTCCAAGTGACCATATTGCTGTACCAGGATCAGTTGAAATGGCTACACTGCAGGAGGTACAAGACGCCCAGCGTGAACATGTCGTACGACTGCAACACGCATTAGAACAGATGCACAAACGCAGCGCGAAGGTGAACGCAGCCGTTCGTGCTGCTGGACGTAAGGGTCGCGACAAAAAGCAAGGTACTGCTATGGCCCAGTTTGACGTGGGAGACTACGTTTTGTACGCCGATGTGTGGCAACACACGCGCAGTAAGTTGAGCGTGAACTGGTGTGGACCGGCACAGGTGGTTTCCACCGTGTCCAATTGGATTTTTGAAATTCAAAACCTTGTTACAGGCCAGCGCAAGGAGGCACACGCTAGCCGCCTAAAGTTTTACGCTGATGACTCGCTCAACGTCAGCGAGGACCTACTGCTACACATAGCACATAACAGTGAAGGGCACGTCGTAGACAAGTTACTTGAGGCGCGTTACAACCGCCAGGACAAACGTCACGAGCTTAAAGTTCACTGGCGTGGACTTGATACGATCGAAGATTCGTGGGAGCCAGCTGCCACACTGATGCAGGATGTGCCTGCAGCGGTTAAAGCTTTCGTTCAATCTCACGGAATGCTTCCAGCGGTTAAGGAGCTCAGAAAGGTGCTACGGATCAACTAGGCCGCACTTGCTACGATCCAGCAAAGCTGGCGCCTACAGCATCTTTACATTTGAAGCTTTTGGAGGGGGAAGTGTTGTTGCTGAACAACAACGCGTAGGTGTTGATGAGGTTGAACTCACCAACACCAACACGTTACTAAAGAAATTGAGAATCAACTGCAAGGTGTAAGCACGGAATGTGGAACGTTATCCAACCGCGTACCTGCAGCAACCATGGACCGTTATACCACTGCGGATAACGGTCCACCAAACTCCAAAAGCATACATAGGAGACCACCTAGTACGAGCTAGGAACGAGTCAATATATATCACTTTTACATTTCCATCGGTAGCGACACTACACTGAGTAACAAATTTTCTAGAGGACGTCAAACGAAATACACGTTTCTAAACGAAGTACAGTACTTCTCTGGCCCATTCCAAATACATATTTTGACTAATAGCTCTGGAACCAGAGAACCGGTGTGCGGCACGGATGTAACCGTCACGATTCGTTAACTTCGTGAATCATGAAATTTTCTGCATGCAAACTTCTACATGTACTTAAAACTTCTCTTCAACCAAGAATCGAACGAAAGAGTGTATCATTTGGCAAAATACCAGGAGGTGCTAGCTCAACGTCTACTGGTGGTGGCCAATACCTAGCTTTCGATCAAAGCTGAATATGAAGGTGAATATGACTCGGAGAATGTGCAACGAGACCGAATACCCAGAGCTAAATCTATCGAAGTTGAAGGCAAAGAAGCAAGGCGCCGTGCGTCACCGTGCCAAATTCGTATCGAAGAATAGCTATGCTATTCGCGGCTTTTGTTTTACCTACTTAAACAAAGTCTACTCGGTGAAATCGTACGCTGAAGCGAGTATGGGTGTGGCGGTGCAGTTGCCACTGGATCAAGATGTCAAGCGAGATAAAGAGACAGCCCCACCACTTTTTGTCTCAAAACGAGGACGCCCGCGGAAAAAGCGAATCAGTGCTGAGTCGACGTATCGGTGTTATTGCTGTTAGCGGGTTGTTCACAACTGATGAGCATGTTAATAAGAGCCGCATAATTGGTACTTATTAATAGCTTGAAATGCGGCGTAACTGTTTTTTTAATGTATTGCAACTTTTCATGATGACTCGATCGGTGTACCAGATTTTGCTGAAACACATGATGATCTGAGGCCGCATTTCCACCGTTTTGATCATTTTCCCCAAAAGGGTATCCTTATTCACACTTGAGCAAGTTGCCAATCGTCGGCCCCATCACAGGATACGTGTACCCCGTAAAGTGGATGAGACTTCCATTCGTTTCTTCTGACCAAAAAGAGAGTTGAAAACAGCGTTTGTACATGTAGAAGTCCCTATCCATACGTGTACAATACATGTACATGTACACTGTATTTCCTTGCTTACCTGTAGCTAAAGTATTTAGGAATAGTTGCGCATGGCAACTTGCCATGTCTAGAACTATCAATGTTAATATAATACATGAACAGTTCTAAAGTAACGCAAGCGCGTTGCTTCGTTTGTCCAGCTGTAGCGAAACAACAGCGATCTTGCTGATTTTGCTGAGACTGTGCACTTCAGCCAAGGCAAACTTCTCCATCATCAAGTGTTATCCGGCATGGCAACGCTTCAAATGCCATCGTACATGTACCGGTACGTGACAACAGCCAGGTTTGTTACATATTTATTAATACCGGTACCGGTACTACCGGCGGTAGAGGAGACTACAATAAAGCTTTTTGCTGTTAGCATATCTTCAAGATCCATGTATTATCTTGTGCGCACCAATTGGCCAGCTGGAGCCGTGGCAGACCTGGTCTGGTCTCAACAATTGAAGTTTCTATTGAATCTCGTAATCCAGCTGGAAGCATTCTGCCCAAACAGCAACAATAGATTAAACCGACAGGCTCATCCTTTACATCGCTGCTCTCTGATCGCTCCGGTTGTCCCAAAACATGAAGCCACGCGCTTCAGGGATAGATTGTTCACAATTCAATTTGCCTTCGCCGAAGCACGTCAACCGCCACCCGCTTCTCCGATCAAGATGCATACTCCTAGTGCTCTTCGTCTTGTGGTCCTCGCCGCGATGGCAGCCATGACCGCCCACGCTCAGCAGGCTGGCTCCAACAAGGCCGAGACCCACCCGCCGTTTACGACGCAGACCTGCACTAAGAGTGGCTGCACTGATGAGGACACGTCCATTGTGCTGGACGCCAACTGGCGCTGGTTGTACAAGGAGGGCACGTCGACGAACTGCTACACCGGAAACAAGTGGGACACGAGCATCTGTTCGGACCCCAAGACGTGCACGTCGAGCTGTGTCCTTGACGGTGCCGACTACACCGGCACGTACGGCGTCAACGTCGAGGGCGACAGCGTCAGCCTCAAGTTGGTCACCAAGGGTCCGTACAGTACCAATGTGGGATCGCGCTTGTACGTCCTGGAGTCCGACGAAAAGTACAAGGTCTACAAGCTACTGAACCAGGAGTTCACGTTCGACGTGGACATTTCGAAAGTTGACTGTGGTCTGAACAGTGCGCTGTACTTCGTTGACATGGAGGCCGACGGTGGCATGAAGCGTTTCCCCACCAACAAGGCTGGTGCCAAGTACGGCACGGGCTACTGCGATGCTCAGTGTCCTCAGGACCTTAAGTTTATCAGCGGTGAGGCCAACATCCTTAACTGGACCCCAAGCAAGACGGACCCCAACGCCGGTACGGGTAAGTACGGCTCGTGCTGTGCCGAGATGGACATTTGGGAGTCCAACAGTATCAGTAACGCGTACACGACGCACCCGTGCACGACAAAGATTGGCGGCTCTCACCGTTGCTCTACGGCCAAGGAGTGCGGTGTTGCTAAGAACCGCTACAACGGTGTTTGCGACAAGGACGGCTGCGACTTCAACCCGTACCGTATGGGCAACAAGACGTTCTTCGGACCCGGTTCGGACTTCGCCGTTGACACGACCAAGAAGATGACGGTGGTGACTCGTTTCATCACGGATGATAACACGGCCACCGGCACTTTGGTTGACGTCCAGCGTTTCTACGTCCAGGACGGTGTGACCCTCGAGATGCCTCGCTCCACTTTTCCGGCTGTCAAGACCATGAAGTCTCTGACGGACAATCAGTGCTCTGCTGCCAAGAAGCTTTTCGGTGACAAGGATGATCACAAGGCTAAGGGTGGACTCGCGCAGATGGGTGAGGCCATGAAGAGCGGTATGGTGCTGACCATGAGTCTGTGGACCGACCACGCTGCTCAGGTCTTGTGGCTTGACTCGGACTACCCCGTGACTGCCGATCCTAAGAAGCCTGGTGTCTCGCGCGGTACGTGTGCCAAGACGACGGGTGTCCCCAAGGAGGTCATTGCCGAGCAGGCCGATGCTACCGTTGCCTTCAGCAACATCCGTGTCGGTGACATTGGCTCGACGGTGAAGGGCGTGGGTGTCTCGAAGAATACTACTACCAAGAAGGCCGCCACCACCCCGGCTACTGAGACGGCCAATGAGGCTGACCCGGAGGAGGTTGGTGCCGACGCGGACCCGGAAGAGGTTGGCGCTGACGCGGACACTGAGGATGCTCCAAGCACGTCGACCAGCTCGTGCAAACGCCGACACTAGATGCCCATAGTTGATCAGTGAAAACAGTTTTTGTGCGTACTGTGTTTACCTAAGAGTTCAAGCAGCCTGCCTTCGGGAAGGTTGCGATATAACCCTTTAAATGGAAATGTTGTGTGAAAGTTCCTTTTTACAAAATACGGGTGTCAAGAGATCATTGGAAACCTACTGTACGAAATGTCATATTTGTATTTGAAGTATTTTTATTACACCATTGCAATATGGTTTATGCTGTCACTAGGGATGGGTTGCGAAAATAAAATCCGATCGATCGATTCGATCAAATCCGATCATGATCGATTGTGATCCGATTGGCTGATCTATCGATCACTTTCGTTCCGATCGGATTCAATCGGATCGGATCGACAAGTTCACAGCCTTGCGTAAAAAAGTTTTTAGGCCAATATATTTTTATTATACAAAATCTATCATCTTTGCTATAGACTCCTAGTTTTTGATACTCCTGCTGCAGGAGTCCTGCAGCAGGTGTATCAATAACAGGAGTCCTGCATCAATAACCGAAACCACAACTGTTAAGCAGGGACGAAGCAGCTGATCCCGTCGAGGCGTTGGAGTCCGCGTCGAATATCAGCATCGGTCCCGGCAGCGCCGATAGTATCGCTAGTTTAGGACGCAGGAGCAACCCGCGACGTGTTGTCTATGAGGGCAGCGAGATCGACAGCAGTGACGCACATAGAAACCGTGAGAGGCTTTGAAGCGCAGGAATTTGCCAAGACCACTGGAATGAACTGCTTATGAGACGAGGTGACGCTAGCGGGTTTTAATCGACAGCCGCAACCGCGCTGTCCATGTCATCGGGTGTTTGGCACAAAAGCACGTTGTCGCTGTCGGCCGAAACCATGTCCTTAGGTATGGACTTGCTGCCTGTAGAGCTTGCAGCTCCGCTCGTGTGTGTCATTCAGAGTCATGTGCCAAGACCACTCCTGTTCTTCTGATTAACATACCACTTGCCTTTCGGATGGCTTCTCAAGACGACGCTAACGCTGCTGGACATCTTTGAGCTGTGCTGGAATCTCCGGTGCAGCAATTGGCAAGCGTCACAAAGAGCACGAAGACCATCCTTGGCGCCTTTGGTGAACTGTTATCAGTATTGTCGACGCTCAACAGCCTCGCGCAGGCGACGCTGCCAATTATTCTGATGTGGATGGCCGACACCATTGGAGAACGTGCTATCGATTACATGACCAGGAACTAATGTTTCACTGGCAACCAAAGTGATAGAAGACAAACACAAAACAACATTTTTCAACCATATCTCCGCGAGAGATTAATGCGCGTTGCCTGGGCGATAGATTTTGATGGGATCAATGGTTCACTGTACTGAACTAGTCAGTGAACTAAAGATGAGCATGAACATCGCCTGATGTCTTGTTGAAATCCAGAAACGCTTGTAGCTCCGATATCGCTGTCACAGCATCATCTCCAAGCCTGGCACGACGAGAACTAATAGTTGCACCCGACGCAGAGAATGCCTCTTCACTTGGGACTGATGTTGCCATAATTGCCAAATAATCGCGCGCCATCATCTGAATCCGCGGAAATGAAGCGGCTTCATTCTTCATCCAGTTGCAAACAGCTCGACTTCCTGTCTTCAGGTTCATGGATCTGTCCTTGTGTTCCAACCACCGCTGTAGCTCCGACACGAACGACTCATTTGTGTTGCTGACCGGTTCGTGTAAATCCAAATGCTCATCAATGAGACCATATAATGCTTCTTCGTCATCGTCTTCTTCTTTCTCCTCCTGCGTTCTATCAGCCTCAGCGATGCCCACAGTTCGTTCGTATTTACTGCGATACACAGATTCATATTCGTTCTCAACAAGGCGCTTGGCCTGCTCGATATCACCGTCGATCATCACAATGTGTTCCTTAGCTCGAGGATCAAGAACGGCAGCAATCCTTGCCTCGCGAGTCTTCGCAACGGGAGGTACTCATCCAACTTTGTTTTAAAGGCACGTGCAAAGTCCCTAGTGTACCACGACTCGGCATTCTGCATTATCTTTGACGCATGCTTCGAGATCAAATGGAAGACAACAAGTGTTAGGGGTAATTTTTTCCAGACATCATAGTAGTTGCTGCTTTGATCGGCTTCAAGAACGCCGTAAACTCGGTCAAGTAACTCCACGTAGTTTCCGAAATGGGGGAGGCAAGACGATGTGTATGACCAATTGACAAGTCTCTGTATCCTTCATGGCGCTCGCGGATTCTACGCAGCAGTTCTTCGATCGCCTTTTGTAATGCACGAGCTGAAGTCAGCATAATCAAAGTGCTGTTCCATCTTGTGACGCAATCGAGTTCTGGAGAAACATACTTGATACTAACAGCGGCACACACTCCTCGCAAAGCTTCTAGCAAAGACGGTGAGTCCGATATCTTCTTCAAAATGTCGCGAATACTTCCAACGCTATCATCCATTAAGGGGCACGCTTTCATTCCTTCTCTCACAGCAAGTTGAAGCACATGAGCGAGACAACGAACTTGTATCACCTTCGGCTGAGAACTTCTGCCTTCCTCACCAGCTATATGTACCCCCGTCGTGGTAGAAGCCGCGGTTGTTTGTTCGTTGGTAAACACCTCGTCAGCAAGTGGCTCGTTAATTTTTCCTACCATGGTCCCATTGTTAGTCGCATTATCTGCAGTAATTGCCCACAGCTTCGAGATAAGAGATTCATCCATTGCCCTCAGTGTATCCATTAAATGATCGGCAAGCCGGACGCCACTATGAGGATACTCCACCCGTGTGAATCCAACCACTACGGACTTGATAGCCCATTCGTCATTGATCCAGTGTAACGTCACGACCATATACCCTTTTTGAGCCGCCGACGTCCACATGTCGGTTGTGGCAGACACACGACACGACGCAATTTCTTGGAGCATTGTGTGCCGCGCCAGTTCCTTTTCACATGTCCAGCGTTGTATGACCTTCTTGCGCACCGTTTTACGAGTTGGAGGCGTGTAATCGGCTTCAAGAATCTTACAAAATGATCGAAACTCTTTCTTTTCCACCAAATTAAACGGAAGTGAGTTCATCACGATCAAGTCCACAAGCTGATCATCGGCCGCAGCTTTGTCAAAAGTGCGCTGCTTTACAAAACGTTCAAAACCAAACGCAAGTAACTTCGTTTGCTTGGAATCCATTGCAGCCTCTGAAGCCTCGTCGTCTCCTCCGGAATATTCGTCACGATGGTACCGTTTAAGATGGCGGCGAAAAGTGGTGTGTGCAATTGATGACCATCGACAAGCTGAGTCTGTAGGGCACAGCAAGCAGGTATAGGAACCTTCATCGTTCTCACGAATGACAGACCAAATGTCGGAACGCTTGTGACTGTGAGATTGCCGATATCCACTCGATGAAGTGTTTGCGTTCGACGAAATGTTTGTGCTCGACTCGTCATGAGCGTCCATTGATTCTACTTATGTGGTATCTTGCCTACGTAGTAAAGCCAAAGTAGAGAAGTGAAGTCAGCTCATTACCGTTCGGCGTGCAACCTTAGTCTGTCCCACGGAGGTAGCTTCTCGACAGGAATTTGGTGCAGGTGCAACTACCGATTCGATCCAATCGGATCCGATCGGATCGAATCAACCCATACAAATTCCAAGTATAAAAACTTCAATCACACACAGATCATGGCGCAAAATTCCAACCTAAACGAAGGGAAGTTCGGTCCCAGAAGTGGCGAGCCAATGCCGTGATGTGCTGGTAGACACTGCCAGGGAGAGGTATCACACTTGGGCTTGAGCTTCGAGGAGCGGATAGTTCGGGCGGTGAAGTGGTAAGCGGTGGGGCGTACCACGACGGACAGCGCGGCAATGATCTTGAATCAAGTACATGTACAAGTCACCAATCAAGACTCTTGATGAGCGACTTGTACATGTTCGGCTCGCCATGGACAGCTTCACAACGGGACGTGGAAGTTCCCGGGCACTTCGATGAGCTGGGTGGTGCTCAACAACAAGCAGGCAGAAGTGCTGGTACGACGTGGCTACAGTGTTGCAGGCGTGTCGCCGACGCTGTTGGATATATGCTCATTAATTTTCCGCCGGAGTCTGCAGTGGGCTAGCCGCAGACGTAATCGGTGGCGTAGTTTTCGGATGTGTTCCGGGAGTCTCTTTTGCTGGTATTCCGCGATAAACGAGATGCTGCACTGAATATACGGAAGGTGCGTCTGCTGACGATTTCATGACGGCGTCCCGACGGGTAGCGTAGAGCCACACACAATAAAATTCGTCACTTTCCTCTGCCTTAGGCTCCTACGAAAAACACTTCCTAACAGAAAACTTCTTGCTAGGACTCCTGCTGCAGGAAAACTCATCCTGGAGACGAACAACACGTACGGTACGACAATATGACCTCAAATATTTAATGCAGAACGTCTTAATCGTTTCATAGAATCGTAAAGGTTTTAAATGTCATTGGGTAGACTCTTTACCTACAAGAACGTATTTCTTGTGAATTTCAACACAAGGGACTATATCATTTTTTGTGTTTCTGCTAGAATCTTATACATTTTTGATTGGATCCGATCGATCGATCAATCGGATTCAATCGAATAAGATCGAAACGAATTCAACCTCGATCGGATTAGTCAGACGAGACATATCGATTGATCCGATTCAATCCATTTCCCAAGCCTAGCTGTCACCATTTTGAGGAAATTGCTGTCAACCAGATCTTGGTACTGGTAGAAAAGTAACGGCGTTACCGCAACACAACGGCGACAAGACGACAGCTCTTACGGCAACACATCTGCCCCTTATGACACAGGAACAACATAAAAAATGTGTCAAAGCAACACAGCTCGGTAAATTGTTATCCGGGGTCTGATAGATTACCGTTATTGTCAAAGTTACCACTCCGCTGATTTACAAAATTTACATTGTAAGTGCTCATTCATCATTTATAAAAAAACTCGCAGTGACCAAGCCAACTTGGGCTCCATGAACGATTCAGCTAGCACCGACCGGACGCATTCAACTGG